CCCCGTTGAAAGTTTTTTCCGGGGCGTTCATGCTTTGTCAGAACGCATAGTTACACAACATGCGTCTGTGCATGGCACATAATTACGCGATGCGTAGTTATGCACACGGGGAGCTGAGTGACAAGACGTTTTTTTGGGCAAGCTTCCACTTCTTACTGTGTTCGAATGGACCCAGTGAGGCGAGGACCACATCCGCTTCGCCCTTAACCCATCAGCGACAGCCTTAAAGGGCGAAGCCTATATGACATAGAACGTTGGTTACGTACTGTAACCTCAGATTCTATGAATATAGGCGTAGCCCTTTAAGCGTCGGGCCTCACTGGCTCCTGAATAGCTGAAGAAAAAATAAGCTATTTGGGAGCAGATTACCCGCTCTTAATGTAATTTATACGGATCAGGTGGGGCCCACACAGCAGGTGGGCGTGGACTAATTTTTTCAGTATGATGCTTGCGCATAACGGGATAAACCCATCAGCGACAGCCTTAAAGGGCTACGCCTATATTCATAGAATCTGGGGTTACAGTACGTAACCAACGTTTTGATTTGTTCATTATCAGTAAGCCATAATCATCAACATGACTAGAAATTAAAGCTTGAAATATTTCACTTTCTGTGTAATGAATCTATATAATGTATGTTTAAAAAGTTAAATCTGGTCCTCTGGACATTTAAAAAAACAAAACAAAGCAAAACAAAACAAACAAAAAATATATAGAAGCGTTTCGTCTTTCATCTGAAAGACTTCCTCAGTCTGAGATGCTGTATTCAGCTCAGTCTTATAAATACTGTAGCACCTTCTCAGAGTGGATCAACCAGTTCTATTTCGTATAGGCTTGACCCTTTAAGGCTGTCGCTGGTGGGTTTATCCCGTCATGCAAAGCATCGCACTGAAAAAATTAGTCCATGCCCACCTGTTGTGTGGGCCCCACCCGTTCCGTATAAATTACGTTAAGAGCGGGTAATCGGCTCCCATTTTTCTTCAGCAAGTGTATAGCACCGAGCTTCAACAACCATGTCCAACACCAACGTCATCCGCCTGTGTCCGTCCTGCAAGACCGGCTACATGCTGAGTTTCGACCGGCGCGACATCTGCGAAGGATGCCTGGGTCCCCGCCATGCCAACTTCACCTCGTCTTGCCACCTCTGTGACCTCCTCCCCCCGTAGGAGAGGCAGAGGTGAGCAGCCTTGTTCAAGGCTAACGTCGAGGAGTGCCTCTCCATGGCGGGGGACTGTTCGCTGGACAACGCCATTGATTTTTTCAACGCCGACTCTCGGAGCAAATTGGATGGTTCCTCCGGGACAGGCGATGTCAGCAGCAGCCCCGCTGCTGCTGACGAGGGGGGCCGAGCGGATGCTTACCCCCCACCCCACCCCCCACCCCCCCGGGCCTTTCCGCATCAGCGACCACACCACTCCCAGCCATTGGTGCCCTCCTCTCGGAGCTGCCCGGCATAATTCATGAGGCGGCTGACACGAAGAGACTTTCCGTCCCTCTCCTCCCCCTGCCCAGATCGAATGATCTAGCGGGAAGGTTTGGCTCCACCCCGGCTCGCCATCCTGATCCCATCTGGCCTTGTTTCCCAGCAGTGACGTCCTACTAGAACAAGGCTGCAGCCGGATCTGGTAGACTGAGAGCACCGGTACAAACAGACCTGCCTGAGGAGACAAAGAGCTCCCTCTGCAAGGCGTCTGACATCATCCTGAACTTGTGCGCCTCTTCTGCTGTTTGCCTGTCTCGAATCACAGCCTGGATGACAATGTTTCAGCGATCCACCTGGCTCCATCACTTCCCCTCCCTGCCGGAAAAGCTGCAGAAGTACTTGTTGGAAGGCCCCATCACGACAGACGCACTGTTCGGAGCCAACTTCAAAGCCATGCTTGACAACTCGAAGTAGTCAGAGGAGATGTTGGAGGCTGTGCTCCATCTGGTCAAGCCACACTTTTCTTCTTGCCCCCCCCCCCCCCCCCCCGCTGGAGAGAGCGATGTGACCAAAGACAGCAGCAAATATGCGCCACAGCTGCAGAAGCATCTTCTTGCTCCACTCCGCCGCCGGCCCCTCCCATCAGAGAACAGCCCTCCTCATCCCGGCATCCAGCGGTACAGCGTTTCCCCAGAGACTGCCAACAGGCTCCCTCCTGGAAGAACAAACCGCAAGGCTCACGGGGGAGAAGATTCAAAAAGCGACTCCTTGTGGAGGATGTGTGTGCGCAAAATGATGGTTCGAGTTTTGAAATAAAACGTAAACATCATTCAGGAATTAAAGTGTCTGATTTCAGCTGTTTCATCAGCACGGATGTGAGCCCGCAGCCTGAGCTTGGCACAGAGGTGCCTTCAGAGCCCTTTCGAGAAAGCCTCACCTTGGGTCACTCAAAGCACGCCTTGGCAGCACATGACGGCGGTAGAGACTGTAAATCAGTTGACGTCCATAAAAAACATGACGCAGCACGGAGACATGCGTCCGCTCCCCAAACGTTACGCGGAGTGGCGGTGAGCGTGCGCTCTAGACAGATGGATGAACCGCCTTAACAGACTGAGCTGAATACAGCACCTCAGACTGAGGAAGTCTTTCGGATGAAAGACGAAACGTTTCTACATTTTTTTTGTTTGTTTGTTTGTTTTGTTTTTTAAATGTCCAGAGGACCAGATTTAACTTTTTTAGATTTTTCTACCTGGATTATTGAGCATGCATCAGGATATATGATGTATGAGTTTCTCTTTCTGAAATGATTAACAGAAATAAAATTAGAACTTTTTCCACGGTATCCTAATTTTCAAAGCTTTGCCTGTATTTAAAGAAACAAGAACAGTGTCTCATTTTCTATACCTACTTGAAGAGATTCTCTGGAGATGTTATTAATAAATATTATCTAACCTGTTGTAGACAGTTCTTTAAATCTAAATTCATGAGCTAAAACCTACTCTGAGCTGGATCAAGATAAAAGTGGATTGATGGAGTGCTCAGCTCTGCTAGCAGTCAATCACAGGTCCTTATTGATATTCATTGAGTTAATAAAAAATCATATTTCTAAAATGCTATAAAGCTATTTGAAATTGGAATTTTTTTTAAAGTCCACAACAGTTTTGGCCTTGCTTAGGTCAACTGTCTCATCCATCTGGACAGAATTAAACTTTTTTTTCTCAGAAGTAAAGTAGTGTAAAGAGCTGTCTACAACAGGTAAGATAGTGTTTGTTCATAACTCTTCCACAGAACCCTACATTGAAAAATCTGACCTATAGAGTTAAGGGATGCTTGACTTCAAACAACACAGTATACTGTATATACAGCAATTTCTTTCCATTTATGCATTTGTCAGTGTTTTCTTTCTTGAGATTTAGTCGGATCTGACTGCATACAGTATTTTTTTTTTTACCTTCATAAAGGTGAATCAAAGTAGTAATTATCTTCAGTTTTCACATTCTTGATACTAATATCCCTCTGTATACAGCTGTCACATCCAGTTTGTCTCAGCTGGTTTGTTGTGGCTCTTTATGTGTACCTGTGTTGTATTGCATCATGTTTGGCCCTGACTGCTCGCTGTGACCTGCCTAATGATCCTCTGTTGACCCCTCACATACAGTCCAGATTTAATGCACAGGGTTGTCTTTCCTAATTGATTTCTTTTAATTTACTCTCAGTCGACTCCACATCCACTTCATACTGCTGATTACGCTGCTAAGTGAGTTCACCTTGAGAGGAGCGAAAATAATGTCCAATATGTAGCAATGTAGAGAGATTACCTTTGTTAGGCCAAGCTTAACATATAACCTGTTTCTGCTCATTGGAGTGTCTTTTAGTCCTTGGAAAACAACATGGCAGGTGTGTACTGAAGATGAAGAATGAAACGAGCATTCCTTTCAGCAGGGATGCATCTGAATTTGCCTGTTTTCACTTTTCTTTCAATGTACAAGCTAGGAGTTTGGAGTGCATAGCTACGCTGAGAGGACAGATTCAGAGCAGGTGAAGTAGCTCAGCAAAATGTTCCTTCCATTTCCATGGTCCATTGTCAGCACTCCATATAAAAACATAAAATATTGAAAGGGTGCATTAACATGGGTCAGGAGGAATTGATGGCTTTTCCACTAAGCGTGTGTTTGGGGGTGGGGGCTGGTGCAAAAGTGGTCAAAAGTGGTGGATCCTGCAGTTTTGTGGTATAAGACGCCAGCCTGTGCTTCCTGTCAAAAACATTATTTACATAGGTTGACTTTACTCTCACCAGTGCATCAAGGCCGATCTTTAGTTCTTATGGAATCTGATTCAAACTTTAAAGAAATCCTCATAAGATGAAAA